TTTTTTTTTTTTTTTTTTTTTTTTTTTTTTTGCTTCTTCATTTGGTTTGATGATATTAATTTGCCGAATTGTTGTAAAACAAGAAAGAAAAAGATGCAATAAAATAAGCAAAAGAAAAGTGCTAGACTGAACTTGGCACTAAATATAGTTATCGCAAAGCTCATTTTTTAGTTTACAAACCCTTATAACTGCAACAGTAACAACAGAATTGTTTTTAATTGTTGCATAAACGATAAGCAAATCTATAGCTTAGTCTATCTTTTTATTAACTCTTTTACAGTCTCAACTTTGAATGATGGAATATTTTACAATTGAAAAAAGATGCTTAACAATCTGCCATTTGCAAATGTTGTTTGCCGATTTCATTTTTGTTCTATTGTACATTGATATCAGCTAATCTAAAAAAATTTTTCAACATTTTTGGATCATTGCTTTAGTGGCAACAGTAATGTAACTAAGTTTCTCTGTACAAGAAAAAAAAATGTGAAAAAAAATTTGTCAATAAATAATGAAATTTTTGTTGCACAACAAACACTTTTTTTTGGTTTTTTTTTCTTTTTGTTTGTTCTCACTTCAAAATCTGTTCCACCATCAAAAGACATTGTTTTGTGTTGATTGAGAAGAAAAAAAAATACATGATTTTTTTTTTTAATGCAAACCATGAATTTTGGCGATCAAAAAAAAAAAAAAAAATACTTTTTAAATAGATCAAACCTGATCAGCAGCAGATTTGATATCTTCACGTGCCAATGCCATTTTTGACCATAACGGAAGACACATTTCTGGCAGTGGAAGTGGTGGATTTTTTGGCCGAGCAAGAATCACCATTTTAGCTGTATCGAATAGAATTCGTAATTCCGTAAAAGCAGCTCCCAAGTCTTTGATCTCTTTGGTCAATTCTTTCAATATGATTCCATCGAATGGACCTAGCTAAAGGAGTGGCAATAAAAAAAAAAAAAAGATGGCAAACGACGAGATAAAAACAGCAAAAAAAAAAAAACCAAATTTTGCAGAAGTAGTCTCAGTTTGTTTGTTTTTAAAATGCTTCTATTTATTCATACGAAGTATTCAGTTTTTTTTTCACTATTTCTTTTCTAAAACATACACAAAAAAAGGATGACTGATTGTGAGTGATAAATGTGAATTTTGACACGTGCTTTTTTTTTTTACTGTTCAGCAGTTTTTGACTGCTTATCTGTTATTTACAAAAAAAAAAATAATAATAATAATAGTAAAGAACAAAAAACTATACCGACTGTAGATCTTTGTATTTTTTGATAGAAACTAGTTTAACATTTTTTGGAATTTCAAATTCCGGTAATACATTATCCCTAATTGCACAGGTAACCACATGATTCGGGAATTGCTCGGCGAACATAAATGCAAAAATACTCGGCTCGTCAGATATATCAAGAATTTGCAATACTTTACCATCTTTTTGGCCACCAGTTAACTAAAGTTAACTAAACATATTTGAAAAACGAGAAGCAGCAATATCAATAAGATAAGTGTTCTTCCGATATATTCACTTCCTCTTTTAACCTCTCACTGTACTGAATTCGTCTCCTATCTTCTGTTTCCCACCCCCCTCCCCCCTTCTCCTCCGTTTTGTTCACAGCCATTGGTAAAGATGATTACAAAACATCATTTTTTTAAAAATTTTTTTTTAAAAGAAAAGCGAAAATAGAATTTTGGTGTACCTCTAACAACCGTTCACTACCGATTAATTAGCTTATGTTGTTGTTTACCTCACAGTTATTCAGCAAATTTAAAAGTAAAAGTGATAAAACGTCAGCGAAACAAAAACTAAGCACCAAAAAAAAAAAGCCCTACAAACTTTACGAGAGCTAACTGTATAGTTTTTCAGCTTTTTAATAAATGCATTTTTTATTTTTTTAGTAAACTAAAAATTCGAGAAAACAATATACTAATAAAACCAAAAAAAATCAGTCATTGTAATGAATATGATATAAAGCTTTGATTTTATTCCTGCTTTTTTTTTTTTTATTTATTAAATTATTAGAAGTTCAATGCTTAATTTTAATTAGAAGTACATTTTAAAAACTGTAATTTAATTGCTTCTTGCTCAATCTTTTTCTTTTTTATATGACCTTTCACCAGCTTTTCGTTCTCTTAAGCTTGATTTTTCAGTTATGCAACATTTTTATCGTATTTTATAACCGCTTTTCCAAGCAATTTTACTCAGCTTAGCAAATTTTCTGCAAAGTTTAAAGTGCAAAAAATAATTTATACTTGCTTTAAGATTTGGTGTTACATATACCTACATCTACTCAGGGAGTTATAAAAACTGTGAACAAAACTTTAAAATATCAGATCGAGTTTCTGACACTTATCTTCTTAGTCAGTACCCACCTGTGCTAAACTAAATGGTTTTAAAAGCAAGCCTGATGATACAGCAAATACGTATAATTTTTTTCTTTCACTGCTCATAAACAAAATAATATGATGAGTTTGCCTTCATTTTTGTAGTTCAGAATAATCGGCTTTCTCTTTTTTATATTTCCGAACACAACTCTATCAACGTACATTGACAACAACCTTTCTGCCTAATAACATCTCATAACTAAACTATTTGTACAACAGCTAAATAGAACAAAATTTTAACTGCAGTTTTTTTTTCAACTAAAAGTGAATTGACAATCTGTTGTTCAGTACAAAAAACATCGAAGTATCGAAGAAGAAAAAAAAACAGAATTACCAAGTCAGCATTATTCACTTACCTTTTCAACAATCCAATTCCAAATATCTCTGTGATGTAAGTTTTCAAATTCTTTTAATGCCAAATATTCGGCTTTACCCAAACGGACTTTCTAAAAAGACAAAAAGAGAAAACGTGCTAATAAACTTGAACCATATTTCCTGTTTCAGCTTAATTCAACCTTATTGTCCCAGAAAACTTCTTTTCCAGATTCTGATGCAATGAAGAAAATTTAATAATATAAAAATAATGACTGTTCTGCAACTTTCTGATACTATTTTTCGAATTTCAAACATGAATAAACTAAACAGCCTAACCCCGTGTTTTAACAGAATTTCAACAAGTCGAGTTTTTATTCATTTTGTTTCACTCAATGTTTCGCAACTATTTACTTGAATTTAAGTGATTATAAAAAGAAAACAAGAAGGTAAACAAAACTGACGTTGGAAAAACTGGTAGAAAAAACAGTGAGAACAAAAAAAAAAAAAAAATAGAGTAAAAACTAACCACCATTCTCTTCAAATAACAGTAGAAAAAAAGAAAGGTCAAAAACTGTGTTAAGTGGTTGTCTAAAAGTTTGTTGTCCACCGACTATCTGTTTATCCACCAAAACAGAACAGACACTAAATGCTGAAAAAAAAAAAAGAGAAGAAGAACATTATCGATACAAAACAGTATTAGTATTTGTCTAAAATCCGCAAAAAAAAAAAAAAAAAAAAAAAAAAAAAAAAAA